GCGGCCTATGAGGGTGGAGAGTGGGGCGGACGGCCGCCGCCCTGCTTGTGAACCTGTCTGCCCGGCTGCCCTTGCGATGCGCCTCGCAGGCCTCGCTTCCCCCCCATGGACCGGGGGGGTTATCCCGGTCCTCATCAGAGGGAACCACCGCCCTACAAAGGCCCTACATCATGCCTACCTGGAGTTATGCGCTACAAGCCAGGGCACTAAAATGGCGGCGCCACGATCTGCAATAGACGACGCAACCTCGCCTGTCTGCAGATGGAACCACCCTGCTGAGCATCACCCCTACCGAACAAGCCGACACACGATCCTGCCATCCGACTACATGGCGAACGGGCTGGGGCTGGAGATAGAGGGCAGAGTCGGCGTGAGAGGCCCACGGAAGCCCCACTCACTCTATGTCCCTGAGGTTGCGTCTGAAAAAGACCGATCGATGAGGCCCACCAGCGGCACTAGCGGTAACCTCGCTACACTACTGATCCAAGCCGACACCACAGCAACAATGCCCATTGACTACCCTCAACGCCCGCACACAACTAGGCACCGCTACCCGAGGTGCAGCTTGCCTCCAACACGAGACTCTTATGCACAGTCCCCCATGCCTCATCATCCATTCAGGATGGCTCATACCAGCCTCGGACTTACCGACTACGCCATGCATCTCTCGGTGACAATGCAAAACCGACGGAACCTGCAGCACTTTGTGGACTGTAGCATGTATAGGGACAGATCTATTCTTATCTGCTTGCTTTTTCCGGTGCATACCCTCAGCAACTACTCATTATCAAAGTTTGATAGGCTTACTATGTTTAAATGTATACAGGCGTAAGGGCACCCTCCACCACCAAGGAATAAGTAATAGACCTTCCCTCTCTCAGGTTAGGAAAGGGCCACAAACATGTCTTTGATAAAACAAATGTGACAATGCTTAAAAGCCACACTCTAGCTTACCTTGGTATGTTTTAGCCTATGTCTAGCACCATATTAGCACCTACAACACGTTTTCACAAGCATGTATATTTTAATGTTAAAGTGTATTTTATAAACGGTGCAGTGAACCAGATCTGTAACTATCAGTGACCAAATACGTTTGTGATTATAGCCTGCAAACTCCTAATTATATACTGTGTTACTTTCATTTAGTTCATGTAAGCTTAGTATAATTGTAACGGGGTTTTGGGGGTGCCCCCTAGTGTCTTTGGGGTCCCCAAACCTAGTTAACTCACTATGCCTGACAGGCGGATCCTGAGCCTCCGCTATCTGGGAGCTGGGGTACATGTCTGCGGCAGTGCCTCCACCCAGTGGAGCATCCGGGGTAGGGATGTGGGGTCCCACTGGGAACATACTTGGTGCAATGAGACTGACACAGTCTAACTGTAACTAACTTTATATGGTAAGTAGCAATTGAACCAACATACATAGGAAAATACAATAGAGTAACACAGATAACAATGCAAAATGTGGATTTTCCTCACTCACCCACCAGCACACCTGCGCCCCACCCCCTTATCTTCGCCCTAGCGGCCGTTGGTGCACATAGGAGAGTTGGGGCCCTTATAAGTCCTGCTCCGCAGGGTCACTGAAGCAGCCTCAGATGTGTAATGTCCGTCACGGGACCTCAGAGCCTCTACTGTGAGTGAGGAGACAGATGCCCTGTGGCGATACAGGGAGAGGCTTGGCTTACCCTCACAACACGATTAACCAGGTCAGTCAGCAGCAGTCTCCTTTCACTGGATTCGCCAGACGTCTGGACTCAGTGCTTGTCTTCTTTCTTTTCTGCAGGTCCCTCTCTCAGCTGGTGTGATCTTGGGTGAAACAAGTTCTCTCAGCCAGGTCCTATCTCTGTGCTACAGTCTCTCACATGTCCTTTCTCTGGCTCAGCATGTGGTCACTCTTAGAATCCTCCTCCCTCAGTGCTGTGCAGGAAGTCCTGACAGGCCCTGCGATGATGCCACACTCATCTCCTGATTTCAGCAAGTCATGTGATCAAAGCTCAATGTTTTATTAACAGCATACTGAGTCCATGTGCCATCTACTGGGCATTTCAGATAATGCAGCCTGTGTAACTTCACGGGCTACATGCTCCCCCTTGAAAATACTTGCCTTCCACTGGCAAGTCCTAGCCAGGGAGCTTAACAAAATTCAACAGAAAAAGGTTTAGCATACCTACAGTACAGTTAGCACAGTAACATCCTAGCTAGCTAGTTATTTAGGGTAAACAGTCACTAACATTTACCACTTCAGCTAGTGCATGTAGGAAAGTGGCCATTTTAAATGCTGCTTGTGTCAGCGGGGCATAACTGGGCTCTCCTATATTATCATAAACTAGGGCCCTAGGGGGTTGCCGCACTCTGGTGCTGTGTCTCAGTTCTCGCTGGGGGAGAGGATCTTGGGACATCAACTGTGGAACTTCGACTCCTGCCCTCGAAGTAGAGTTTTTAAGGGAAGTTCCAGGCACAAAACAGGGACTTTCTGGATTCAACCTTGGAGAACTTTGTGACCCAGGAGAGGTTCTGGGACTTTGTGAAACCACAGGAGTTAAAGGAGGCAATTGTTGTGTTTCTTCAGCGGGTGATGACCACCACTGATCCTCTGCACTGGGAGTTCCCGGGGTCTCCTCTGCCCCATTTCCAGGACTCTCTGCTGGGGTTTCCTCCAGTTCTTAACTACTCTCTTCCTCTTCATCAGTATACACAACTGGAAGCAGATGGTTTCTATGCCAAGCCTTTATTCGGCCCTCCGGGCCCCGAATGTTGTACACTGGCAATCCTTCCAGTTTGGACACAACCTCAAACAGGGTATCTTTCCATCTGTCAGCCAGTTTGTGTTTTCCAGGCACACCTAGATTCCGGAGAAGAACTTTATCCCCTGCTTGAATCTCCCGATATCTCACCTTAGCATCATATCTTCTTTTGTTCCGTTCTTCCATTTTTGCTGCAGCTTGGGTGGCCAACTCGTAGGCCCAACGAAGGTTTTGTTTGAGGTTCCTCACATATTGAAAGTGTGAAGTTGGATCTGTTCCATCAGGAGACACTCCCAACCGGACATCTATCGGCAATCGAGCTTCTCTTCCGAACATTAAGAAATAGGGTGAGAACCCTGTAGATTCATGCCTTGTACAGTTGTATGCGTGGACGATGGTTTCCACATGTTTACTCCAAGACCGCTTCTCGATTTTCTTGAGAGTCCCTAGCATATCTAGGAGGGTCCTATTGAAACGTTCCGGCTGTGCATCACCCTCCGGATGATAAGGTGTGGTTCTGGACTTCTGCACCTGCAACATGCCTAACAGCTCCTTGATCAACTTACTCTGTAGTTTGACAAGGCAGCCAACCACCTATGTCCTGTGGCATCCAGTTTAGCTGTAGTCTGGATGTAGGTAAGTGGATTGTTGTCAGTCCTTACTTCGAATGTTGCCCCATACAAATAGTCATGCAGCTTATCCACGATGGCCCACTTGAGTGCCAGAAATTCCAATTTATGGACTGGATAGTTCTTCTCTGCACCTGTAAGACTCCTACTTATGTAAACCACCGGCCTCAATCCTGCTGGATAACTTTGGTGCAGTACACCCCCTAGGCCTTCCATACTGGCATCCACATGGAGGATATATGGTTTCTCAGGGTCTGCATAGGCTAAGACAGGAGCTTCTGTAAGTCTCTTCTTCAGTGTCAGAAAGGCATCTTCACATCCTGAAGTCCATTTCTCTCCAAAGGGGTCTTTAGGATATGGTGCCTTAACACCCTTTACGTCAGAGATAATCTTCAGCAGGTCATGTAACTCTTGAGCAATCTTTGAGTAGTCTTTCACGAACCTCCGGTAGTAACCACAGAATCCGAGAAAGGACCGCAACTCACCGATGTTATTGGGTCTTGGCCAATTCAACACTGCTTCAATTTTAGCAGGATCTGTGGCTACTCCTTCAGCGGAGACTATGTGCCCCACATAAGTGACAGAGTTCTGGGCAAATCGGCATTTGTCCACTGATAGCTTCAGGCCTTCAGCTTGAAGTCGATCCAACACCTTTAGCAATCTTTGTTCATGCTCCTCTGGTGTCTTCCCGAAAACAATTAGGTCATCTAGATACACTAGACACTCTTTAGGATTCATATCCCCCACAGTTTTCTCCATCAGCCTCTGAAAAGTAGCAGGAGCTCCTGTGACTCCCTGCGGCATTCTGGTAAACTGGAAGAACCCCAAAGGGCAGATGAAAGCTGTCTTTTCCTGATCTTCCTTCTTCATGGGTACCTGATAATATCCAGACCTCAAGTCAAGCACACTGAACCACTGGCTGCCAGATAGGGCGTTCAGAAGATCTTCTATACGGGGCAAAGTGTACTGGTCTGGCACAGTCCTCTTGTTCAGAGTACGGTAGTCCACACATAGCCGAACTGAACCATTCTTTTTCCTCACTACCACAATAGGTGAGGCATAGGGGCTCCGGGACTCTGTGATGATGCCTGCTCCTTCCATCTGCTGGAGTATGTCCCGGACATCTTCCACATCTCGAGGCGGTATTCTTCTTGACCTTTCTCTGAAAGGAGTAGGATCAGCAAGTCTTATAGCATGGGTGGCACTCTTAGAACACCCCACGTCCATCTCTGCTCTGGAGAACACTCCCTCTCGGGTGGCCAGTTTTGAACGAAGGATGTCTTTCCACTGCTGTGGTAGGGGAGAATCTTCTAGATCAAAATCTAAAGGTGCTTTCACATGATCCTTCTGTTCTGCACTCGCAGACATGATGGACGAAACTTGATCTAAAAGGTGTATTACACCAATCTTCTGATGACGATCAATCCGGATTTCCGTGGGGGTTAGATTCTGTACCATCACAGGAAAACTCCGACACCACCTTTTTCGCCAATCTTTTATCTCAGGTATGAGAGTCCACCGCTTCTTCTGATCCTCTTCAGGCAGAGACTCAATAAGGTATTGTCCAGTTCCCCCCAACATTTCATGGTGCATTGAGGCTATGGCTCGTAAGGTTTTGGTCTCACCAGGCTTCACAAATGCAGGTTCTGTTCCTGAATAGTGGCACAACCCTGGTTTTGTTGCAAGGGCTAGTCGTCGACACTCTTTTCCTAGGACAGGGCTGACCTCCATCAGTCGGTCTAAGGAGACATCTCCCACTTCGGTCAGATAGGCCCTGAATACATCCTGTACCATCTTTGCATTAGTACCCAATATTATTGGGGCACACACTTTCTTGGCTGCAGGGCATATCAAAGCTTCCAGCTCCATAGGACATATCATCCCGGTATTTAACTGGGGAATAGTTATGGTCACTTTTATGCATCCCTCCACAGGTTGAGCTTGAGACCCAACGCCCCGTAGCTGAAACTCTCCTGCAGGTTCCATAGGAATGTGTTTCAAATTACGTTCATAGAAGTCTCTGTAGATAATGGTGACTTGAGAACCTGTATCTAGCAATGCTGAAGCATGAATTCCTTCCACTTGCACGTGTATCAAAGATTTAGGCCCAATCTTGGCCCCTACAGATAGACTATATGTAGGCCGGGTCTTCCTTTGCTTGTAAGACCTGGTCATTTGAGTCTCCCCGAGCTCGGTTGCCAGCACCCCCACATCCACCTCCATGGAATCCGCAGGGCACTCCCGCTGAAAATGCCCTGACTTTCCACATTTAAAGCAGTCCCCTCGGCGGGGTGAATCCTCAGGAAACAGCTTTTTCTGAGTCTTCCTGTGTTGCCCCCCACTTCCAGGGGGATGATCTGCTCTCTCTGGTGGTGATTTGCATAAAAGCTCCAATTCAGCCACCTTCTTCCTAAGAGCTGACAGTTCTGTATCCTCTTTCTCCTTCTGTAGGGGTGGACACATCTGGTCTTCCAATCTCCTGGCTGTATTTATTAATGTGGAATAAGGCAGAACTTTATCATCCAACTTGGCTCTCAGCAGAATCATAACTGGATTATTGGTCAAACCACCTCTCTGAATTTGCTTAGATAGCCGAGCATCCAACTCAGGGGCAGTGACTGCTCCTTTATGGAATAACTTTCCAAGCGATAGCTGTAACCGGTTGATATAGTCAGTGGCTTTTTCATGCTCCTTCTGCTTAGTGGTTAGGAACTTAACCAACAGATCATCCAAATCTTCTGATTTCCCATAAGCATCCTGTAAAACTTGTAGATAGTCGTGCGCAGTAGCTTGACCATTTACTCCCTTGTACAGTCTTATCATGTCTGTAGCGGGAAAACGAAGACTCTCCACCAACCGCTGTTTCTTTATGGTATCCGTACAAGACCATTCCTCCAACAACTGCATAGCATTATCCTTCCAGACCTCAAAAGGCTCTTCTCCTGCAGGAACAGGCTGATTCCCAGAAAACACCTTTAGTTTGTGGTAACTATGGGTGTGGTTTGCCGTCACTATGGCTTCTGAGAGTTTCTGTAGTATGTCCGATACATCACTACCTCCTGTAGGCAGGGTGCGTACTTCAGGGTTGTCTGGTTCCAGTAATGCTGTAGATGGATGAGATTCTGCTTTAGGAGTAATCATCCCCTGTCCTCTAGGAGGATGG